GTGTATCCTATTACAAGCTGGAGATGCCCCGTTTTATTTTTTGTTGCATTCTGCTTGATTTGCAAGTCTCATAGAACAACAGTTGCCGGTGCTCCACTGTTAGGTTTGGTAACAAGAAGGTGCTACCAATGAATGTCTTTTAGTTTTCTGTCTCTTGTTAGTTCATAAGGAACCAAAGTAACTATGGGATGTGTCCCTCATCTACTTATGCCCATGAATATTAAAACCATCAAAATCTCGAGTGTGATTGAACAGGCGATTAGGTGGTAAGACTTGTGGATGAAACTTGTAACTTTTTCTTTGCATATATGTTTCTTTATATCTCAGAGTGTCAGATTTTTTAGTAAGTTTGTTTTACGTAAGTTTTTATGAGGAAGATAATTGACATAACTTATATGCACATTACCAGGAGCGGGTTTCTGAAGTATAGCAGTGACTATTTCCCGAGAAAACATCTGAGGAAGAATAGGACCCAAGCCACAGCAGAGCATTTAGATTCAGCTTCAGAACCGAAAAAGCAAAACGGGAGATCAAGCTACCATCCTTCTGAGGATATTAGAGCATCCACATCACATAATAACAAAGAGGCTAGGCTTTCGCCTGCCGAAACCACTAGAACCATCATCGAGGTATTATATTGCATCTTGCAATAAGCAGAAGCTACATTCATGGTGTACAAAGCAATTTTTGCATCTTTGTCATTCTAAATTTGTGTATGTGTGCAGTCACGAGTTTATACTTATTACTTGCTCTCCTGTTGTACCTAGCTTCAGTATTTCCATCAGAATGCAATTTCTTGTTAGGGTTCTTTAAGCATGATTGTTTAAAGATTGTAAAGTAGACATTCCATCTCCATAAAATCTGAAAAGATATATGTTCTAATGTCCAGTTTGATTTTTTTTCTCCCTTTTATTTATATATACCTAGCTTTGTGTATCTATTATTTCCTGTAGTGTGTTATGTTCAGGTGAACAAGAAAGGAACCCTGATGCTATCAGGTGTAATTGGTGATGGAGTTCATGAGAATATTCTATGTCCGGATATACCTTACATAACAGATCAACATGGATGTAAGATGTCGATTTTTGATGAAATTTATCTTCACTTGTCTTTCGATCTCATGAATTTATTCAATTAACTTACCTTCTTCACACGTTGGATTGAAGTAACCTTATGTTCTCCAGGTATATACTTTCAAGTGAAGGATGACGAGGACATTCTGCAGAGTATTAGTTCTGATAATTATGTGGTGTGTTGCCTTTCTGTCATGCATCGTTTCTCTCCTATTACAAAACGAAGAAGAAAAATCATGAAAGAGTAAATATTGTGTACTTTTTGAGACTTAGCTTTCAAGAAAGTGATAAGTTATTTTCTTTACCTGTAGCAGTAGCCTGTAACCAAACCTGCTTGCTTAGTTTAATCACCTCTGTTTTCTTTCTTTTTCTTCTTACCTTCTGGTTTCTTGTTATAATTTCTCAACTTTCCAGTCCTGAATTTTGAACTTGTGAAACTTATGCATGCTCTGATGAGCTATCATCTTTATTTTTCAGCTTATTCATTTGCTTTCATGTATATGTATATGTATTTATTTGCTTTCATTTGCTTTCATGTATATGTGCTGCATCCACATAGGCTTCGTTGAATGCCTTATTTTGGCATGTCAAAATGTAGATAATTAATCAGTTAACATGCAATGCAGCAAGTAATTGTGGGTTTTGATACAATGGAGATGATCAAGGAGATGGAGTTGATGGATCCTTCTGACATTGATTTTGGAATCGAAGAAATTGAAGATGAAGAAAGTGAATCAGAAGATGAAGATGGAGAGGGAGAGGATGAAGGAAATGAAGAGGTCTAACTTTTCAACTTTTCCTTTTATATTTTTTACCATTAGGTACCATGAGAGGAATATGCGTGTTGCTCAAAATGCTTCATTAGGTATTGTGTCCTTGACTTCAGGATTGGGTTGTTGTTCTTGAAGATGACGAAGACGGAGATGATGATGATGACGATGATGATGATGACGACGATGACGATGACGATGATGATTCTGATGAATCGCTTGGAGACTGGGCAAAGTTGGAAACGATGCGGGCTTGTCATCCAATGTATTTTGCCAGGAGGATGACCGAGGCAATTCCTAATCCCAAAATAGGAACAAAAATTTATCAAATTCCTTCTGTCGTAATGAACTAACTATGAATTAATCATTATACAAGATAATTGAAACTTCATACTTTTGTCAAATTTAGGTAGCTTCAGATGATCCCGTCGATTGGATGGAGCAACCATCTGCTGGTCTTGCTATTCAAGGGCTCTTGAGATGTGTCGTTGTGGAAGATTATCCAGATATCCAAAAGCATATTACCCTTTCCGAATCTTCAAGCATTGACGAAAACAAACTTGCAGAAAACATGGAAGAGAAGCTTGAAGAAGTGGGTACAATGAATGGCGATGAACCTGAAATAGATGCATCTGGTGATAAATCAAGTAATGGTGTATCCTATTACAAGCTGGAGATGACAAGAATTCAGCTCATTACGGCACAAGGAGACCAGGTTAACAATAAAGGCTCCTTCTTTGTCTTTACTGTTCACGTTGAGCTGTTCAAAAGACTAATTTGTCATTGTCACAGTTTTTCCCTTGGATTTTACAATGATGATGATGATTATGAAATACTGAGGATAAAAAACTTCGAAATCAAATCCGTATGTTTTTTCTGTTCTTAGAGTCCTGAACTTAAAGAACTTGTGTTGCTAATTGGCAGATCACATGCTTTCCATGTCAAGCTATACTTCTAATAAATCTCTTATTTTCTCTTTAGCAAGGTATGAACTAGTTGTGTTTTTATGGTCCTACACAGACTGATGTTGACGTGGAAGACGTTAGGAAAGCAAAACCGGATGCTATTGCTCATGCATCTGCGGAAATCATAAGACGCCTGGAAGAAGGTGGCGAGACTCTAATTCAAGCCCTCAAATCTCTATGTTGGAGGCATAATGGTATTCAAGCAGAGGTAAATAGCCAGATCCCGGATATATAAGACATAGTACACTTAGATGCTGGCATTTGACCAAGAATTTTGCATAGATTTCACAAGAATTCATGTATGGCGGTCCATTTGTGGCACTGTAAATATGCAATCCATGTTAACTAGAAAGAAAAAGAAATCAGCTGTTTTATGGTTTAAACTTTGATTGTTATTAAATTCTTTTGCAGGAAGTAAAGCTTATTGGGATAGATTCCCTTGGTTTTGACCTCAGGGTTTGTTCAGGAACACAAATTGACACGTTGCGGTATTCATTCTCTGTAAGGGTACGTTGCATTTTTTCCCGGATCTTCTTAAATCTTGTTGCTAATCTACAATGTCTAAAATTTTCATACAAGGGTTTAGGGTTTAGGATCTTAAATCTCGATGCTTTGATTAGCTTGAGGCTATCTTGGCCAGTTTTCTTGTGAAATCACAGATACGGTTAGGCTTGATGAAATCAGAAACAATACTGATGTTGAGAGCTAAAAACGAAACCTTGAGAAGAAAAAATAATGCAGATCCAATATTTTCTCCACCAATCCAACACTCCTCCCATTACCAAACCCTGATTTGGATGATCTTCTCTAAGTAAAAAAGTCTGCCTGCACTTGCCGATTGTCTTTGCTTCAGCCATTATGAACCACAAAGATAAGTTTAGTTTCTAGCATGGTAATTGCTGGGGTTTGCGTGGAAAGGAAAGGAAACTGAGATATGATTTTGCATGCCTAACTGATACTAGAACATTACAGTGTCTGATCTGTTTGTCCTCTCCCTTTTTGCACTTGTATTTAAGGATGATTAAATTTTTTTTTCTTTTAGGAATATGTTGGCAACTAAGTTTATCTCACTTTCAGATGTAACTAGGTAGGGATATTCACTAGAAACCTATCTAGTTTGTCCAAAGTGTGAAACTTTCTTGATCTTGCAGGCGATAACAGAACAAAGTGCGGAGAGACAACTTAAGGAGCTGCTGTTCCCAACAGTCCTTCCTAAGCTTCAGAAACCAAACCGGACGCATCAGAAGGAGTGCTGATGCACATTTTTAACCGACAAAAGCTAAAAAAAATACAGAACTCAGATATGGGTCCGGTCCCATGACTCAAATCCAATCTCCATCTTGGGATCATGAAATGAAGCAACAGATGCGAACTGAAATCAACCGTTGAGATTTATATGGAGCTCCCGACGGGGTAATGGCTGATTGGGCGACTGTCTTGGGAAAACAGGTTGCTGGGTTCCTGGATATGTGTTCAGTCTCTTGTCTTTGATGTTTCAGTGTTATTTAAGCACTTGTGTTCTGTTCAAGTTTCTGGGTTCAATACTGGAATGCGCATTGAAGTTTCCAAGCCATTTTCAAAGTGTGTATCTTTTTGAAGCAAAAAGATCTATTAGGAGACAAGTCAAGATTAAGTACTTAGCTAAATATAATTAAAGACAACTCTAATGGATTATTCATAGATTATTCTTGATCAGGGATTAATAAAGATTCTCATCCATATATTATTTTATAACACCTAAACCGACATAATCATCAAACATAACTCTCTGGGGCTAGAGCCATGATTCACAAGATTGTAGTTTGGTATATATGTTGAGCTAGAGCTGTTCCAATAGCCGGCTGGTTGGGTAATCTCTTAGAAAGAAAAGGAAAGTTTTCAAATCTTAAATGTCTGAGTTTTGTTGTGGTTGATCCAACTGTCCTTCTGATTCAACATTATAAGATTTCAGTTTTCGGTTGGTCCGCATGAACAATTTAACTGTTTATTGGTAACTTAGAAATTGAAATCTGTGACCGGCCCAGACCCAGACTGAACAGGCATAGGGTGTTTACGATGGAATCAAACCGATCCGGTTATAGATATATGTTAAACCAAGTTTTGTCACAAATGACCACTGTTAAAATATGACTTCATAAACTCCCCCAAGTAAAATCAAGATCTCATATAGGCCTAAGAGAGGGTCCATGCTCGAACTGAACACTACAATTCTCCATCAAGATCCTACTGCTCTAGAAGCTGATACTTAAAACCCGAAATTCTCATTCAGCAGTCGCAACTCGATGGTCGTATGATCGAGATTGAACCACCCACGAACAAATTAGTACTGGAAATGCGCCAACATTAGTTTTTGTAGCATCATCACCATCTATCTTAATGGCTATAAAGAACAGGGCAACTCCAGTTCACTTCTGTTCTGATCAACTCAGCTGAGCCACTACCAAAGATCATTCGGAACTGATAATACGTTTCTATTTTGGGAGCGGAACTCAAGAACATCGAGAACAAAAGGGCACCAAGTTCAAGTTTTTCCTCATCAACAAACTAGCACTTGAACTCTCTAAATATCCATCAAAAGAACATCTGTTGTCCAATAGTCTCTTCGACGATATCATGACAACCTAGGTTACTATCCAAAGATGCTAAGAGCTAGAATTAAGTTTGGTTACGCACAAAGGTCAGCTAAGCCATCCAAAAGCATAAGTATGCAACCTATAGGAAGAATTTAAAATTTAGATAAACTGATTCATGAAACAAAAAGAACGAACATTGGGAACCAAAAAACATAGCATCAAAGCTTGAACAGAAACGTGCTCGCACTAGAACTCTATATTGTCAATCGAATGATTGTACTTCCTTAAAGAGCACACAATATCATCATCTAGTTCCTGTACAAAAGATGCATACGAGAATGAAAGAAGAACAGTTCAGGTTCTGATAAGATCAGCTAAGCTTACCACAAAAATCAATATTCGCATAGGCGTGTCACTCACATCAGATAGGCTAAGCTACCACACACACACAAAAAAGAAGAAGATATTTGCATAAGCATTTGACATTTCAAGAACTCAAAAGATAGAGATCTCAAAGTTTACAGAAAGGGACAGAGAGCAGAAGCCAATAACATCAAAAACTGAAGGGCATAAAACCAATCATTAACACAACAAACAAACTAGCACTATAACTCCATATGTCAAACAAAGGAACCTACATTCTCAAAGAATCGATAAAATCGTCTAGTTCCTGTACAAAAGATGAATACATACCAGACAAGTTCCATTCCCATCTGTTCCATTTAGCCGCCAAAAAACGAGAAGAACCCGCGTTTCTTGGGTTCTTCCTCCACCATAACAGCCTTCATACTATCTTGCTCCACCAGCCTCCAAGCCGCCTGCTCGAAAGCCAATCCCGCAAGAGTGGGAGGCTTGTTTAAAACAAGCGGGTAGCCTCTGTTTGTGCTTCTGATAACCTCGGAATCTTCAGGAATCACACCAAGTAAAGCCAAACCCAGCATCTCTTGCACGTCTAACACTGACATCATATCCTCTCCTTTGATCATATCCGTCCTCACACGGTTAACCATCATCTTTATGTCTCGAATTCCGTCACATTCAAGCAGACCAATAACCCTATCAGCGTCTCTGAGCGCTGTTATGTCAGGAGTTGTCACAAGAACTGCTTCGTTTGCCGGAGTTATGGCGGTTATGAATCCGGCATCTATTCCAGCAGGACAATCGATGATGATAAAATCTGGGGAACCCTCTTCTCTGGTTTTTAAGGCATCGACGATCCATTCCAATGCTTTTCCCCCAAACCCCATGTGAAGTTTCGATCTAGGTTTTGAAATGCAGAGCAACTCGAAATTCGACCAACGTTTATCGCGTACCAGAGCCTGGTCGAGACGACAATCTCCATTGAGGACCTCAACGACTGTATAGTTGATTCGATTCTCCAGGCCTAGGAGAAGATCCAGGTTGCGGAGGCCGACGTCGGCGCTGTTATGTCAGGAGTTGTCACAAGAACTGCTTCGTTTGCCGGAGTTATGGCGGTTATGAATCCGGCATCTATTCCAGCAGGACAATCGATGATGATAAAATCTGGGGAACCCTCTTCTCTGGTTTTTAAGGCATCGACGATCCATTCCAATGCTTTTCCCCCAAACCCCATGTGAAGTTTCGATCTAGGTTTTGAAATGCAGAGCAACTCGAAATTCGACCAACGTTTATCGCGTACCAGAGCCTGGTCGAGACGACAATCTCCATTGAGGACCTCAACGACTGTATAGTTGATTCGATTCTCCAGGCCTAGGAGAAGATCCAGGTTGCGGAGGCCGACGTCGGCGTCAATGGCGACAACGAAAAAGCCGTAACGTGCGAGAGATAGGCCGACATTGGCGGTCGTTGTCGTCTTGCCGACACCCCCTTTGCCAGAGGTGATAACCACCACACGCGGCGTTTCTCCGGCGAGCTCCGGCTTTCGGTTCCATTGGAGAACGCACCGCACTGGACTTGGTCTGCCTGGGTTCACCGGTCTGGATTTGATGGATGTCGGGCACGAGACTAGGGTTTTGGGGACGAACGAGGACTGAAAAAATGAAGGCCGAGGGTTCGTGGAAACCACTCGCAGAGACGACGACGCCATTGCAATGCGCTTCAGCTGTCTCTTCGGAGAGACAGCCCGACTGAGAGAGTATCTGGGTGCTGAAAAGCGCGAGGGTTGGGTAAAATAGAGGCTAAACCGGTTCTTGTAAACCTATCTTCCCCGGTTAATTGTAAAGCAAACCAAAATCTCGGTTAACTCAACAACAAATAAAAAATGCTACATACCGAAAAGAAAATTACTTTTCCGGTTTTATTGTCATGATTCATCCTTCGTATATGAACTACAATATATGCTCTATAGTACAAGCTCATACAAATCGAACCGATTAATACGAAAAATAAATACACCACTCAACAAACCGAATTTGAGATACCGGTTTTTACCGGTTTACGATGACTAAACTGTAAATAGTCTACAAACTCCGTTTTTTCATCTGCCTTCCTTCGTCATTAATTGAGAGAACACTTGACTGCTGCTTATGTCTGAACTTCCATCTGCATTGTCCCTCTCAGTGTTCGAGCCACTAGATGGGTCCCACGGAGCCAATTCCAAGCCAGCGATGTTTCTAGAACCTTCTCGAGGCTCGCCTTCAGACTCAGACCCCTGAAGTTGAAGCACGTGTTCTAAGTTCCACAAGACGTCGCCCATCGTCGACCTATCCACGCCATAATCTGCACAACACTTCTCTGCAGTCTCCCCGAATTTCTTCAAGGAGTTCGGGTCGATCTGCCCTGCGAGATTTGGATCGACGATTTGATCGAGCATGCCTTTCTTTTGCCACTGCATTGCCCATTCCGCAAGATTCACTTGTTCTCGAGCAAGCAACGGGTGGACAGCCGGTCTGGCGCAAAGAACTTCAAAGAGAACGACCCCGAATGAGTAAACGTCGGATTTGTCAGTGAGCTGTTGTCTCCTGAAGTACTCAGGATCAAGATACCCAAAGCTGCCTTTCACGCCGGTGCTTACATGAGTCTCGTCGAGACAAGGGCCGGATCTCGAAAGTCCAAAGTCCGCAACTTTGGCCACATAGTTGTCATCCAGCAAGATATTGGTGGATTTGATGTCACGGTGGATGATTCCCTGCGCAAAACCCGTGTGAAGGTAATGAAGGCCTCTGGCTGCACCGATGCAGATCTCGAGCCGTTGTTTCCACGACAGGGGAGGGTTTGTTGTGGAGCCATACAGGTGACTCTTGAGCGGTCCCTTTTCCATGTACTCATAAACCAGTATCATTTCTGATTGTTCTTCGCAAAACCCGACAAGGGAAACAAGATGGCGGTGACGGATCTTAGAGAGAACAGTTATTTCGGTATGAAATTCTGGCAGGCCCTGTCTTGAACCGGGCACGCCTCTCTTCACAGCAACTTTGGTGTTGTCACTCAGAACTGCTCTGTACACCATACCGAATCCACCCATTCCAATGACCAGACTTCTTTCGAAGTTGTTAGTCGCGGATTGTATTTCAGCAAACGAGATTCTCAGAGCATCGTAGCCATTTCCAGTTCCTCCGGATGTTCTACTGTAAGAAATCCATCCAGTGCTCTCCGAACGTTTGGATTTATGTTCTTTCTTGTTGCTCCGTCCGCATATACAAAGAACGAACAAGAAGACCAGAGACAAGAACACAAGACCTCCAAACACCGAGCCAACCACAACCCAGACGATGTTCTTCTTCCGGGTTGCAGCTCTTGAGCCACCCGGATTCAGAACCCTCATTATCTCCACACCATTCAGTATGGCATTGGACCTTGCTGGATTACTCAAATCAGATGGTCCAACACTTATCTTCATCATCCCTGAGCGATCTGATTCAGCCACAAAATCAATGTACACCGGAGAAGCAAGCACGTGAAACGTAAGCGTGGAGAGATCAACGTCCTTATAAGCAAGGTAATCATTGATAAAGACATTGAAGTAGAGCTGGTTGAGTGAAGGGCTAACAATGTCACAGAAATGCAACCGAACCAAATGTGGAACACCCTTAATACCAACAGGGAAACCCCAAGAGACGTTAAACCTCGCCTGCAACTCCGAGTTGTTGTCCCGATTCATCTCTTGTGCCGTCATATAAACATTGTCCGGAGCGATTTCTCTCGTCGCGCCACCAGTCTGATAGTTGGGAGAATGAGAGGTGGCGACACGTTTCGCAGCTGATTTCAACAGAAGATAGTCCTCATCAACAAGCCAAGACCTCCACAGTGTATCGTTGAACGGTGTCAGTTTCAGTCCACCGACATTGATCCTATGAACAGTCTCCAGAACTCGGGACGACACGTTCCAGAATTCTTGGACAAAATTGGCGGAAACAAACTTCGTTCCTTGATCAATAATATAATCCTTCGGCGCCGAGAATACTTCTATCGCGTTGACGAACCCAAACCCAGATGGCTCCATCGAAATAAACGAAATCTCCATAAACGGGTCATTGATTTTCAGCACAAATTCCTTAACCACGACGGATTTAGCACTAAACCCGTTCAGCACCGGGAACCCATTAACCAGGACACGAAATTTCGCCGACCTTAAGTCAAAATTTCGAGCTTGAAACGGTGAGAAATGGAGACGAACAAAGTGAGTACCGTTCTTGGCGACACCTAGCTTGTAGACGGACGACGACCCTCCGCGGAAAACTCGAGCCGTGCGGTACAAAACCAGCGAACCCGGATCCGGGTTCATGTCAGAAAGCGAAACGGATCTGTCAGAGGAGAGAAAACCCGAGCCAGGTCTCACGTCGTCGCCGATGAAGAGTCGGGTGGAGAAGAAGGAGACATTAGCGGTGGAGCCACAGTTGATGAGGTAATTGTCAGCAGGAGTAAATGAAGCCGAAAAAGCGTTAAAAGGGGAGAGAGAGAGATAGAAGAGGATTACAATTTTGGAAAACGCCATAAGAGAAGCTTTGGAATTTTCTCTGCATAGAAAGTTTTGAAGTATAAAAAGAAAGAGAAAGTGTGGGAAGAAGAGCGCATTTGCTGTTTTCGATCTGTATGATCTCTTCCATTGATTTCCATTTTCCACTAAGGTCTTTGTGGAAAGGAAAGTGCTTCAAGGTCCAAATCATTATGCAAACACGTTTGCGTATGTGAAATCAAAACGAGCTACTTAAATATAATTGACTTTTAATTGGAAACTAATATAAAGATAAATACAAACAATGTGCAAATAAATCTCATGCAACGAGAAACGGATCCTATTTAGATGGGCTGAGCCCTAAAGGCCCAATAAAAGGAAAAAAATAAAGAAATGGAAGTATAATATCCTTGTTTACTATTTTTTTTTTAAAAAAGATTACCATGAAATGGATATTTCCTTTTTTTCTCGAAAAAAAATGAGAGATACGAATTCCTTCTCCCGTCAGGTGATGGGATCAAATCCTGTACGGACTGAGATTATTCTCTCCCTCTCTATATATACAGTGTACCATCTGTTCATCTCCACAACCGCCTCTTTCTCTCGTGAGTACCGTTTTCTTGCATCCCAAGAAAATGAAGAACCCTCAGAAATCATCCCCGAACGCAGCCTTTGATACAATAAAATTATTTAAACATCAGAATGATTATCGTGCACAAAAAATTATAAAAGAAATATGAAATGTTCAAAATCATACAACTGATATATTATATCCAACAATTTATCTAAATGTATATCAAGTCATTCTCTAGTTATATTATCATATTTTATTTGAATGATGAATTATTAGTATTTAGATAAAACAGAATGAATTATAAAATTATCATTGTTTTGCCAAAAATTTTGTTTTAAACCAATTAAGTATACAATAAAGTTATTTAAACATAAGAATGATTATCGTCGGCAAAAAAGTTATATAAGAAAGATAAAGTGTTAAAGATTATACAAATGAAATATTTTGTCTAATCATCCATCCAGACGTATATCAAATTATTCTCTAGTTATATTATCGTATTTCAAAATTTGAAACATTATTATTCTTCAATTTTTTAAAAAATAAACTTTAAAGTGCTTAATAGATAAATACAATATTGAATATTATATCATATAACAATATTGTATTTATTTATATGTAAATATTTGTATATATGAATTAAAGTTATCTTGTACTAGCTAAAGGGATCGTTGTTATTTGATTCTCTTCATCGTAAATCATAAGATCATGAATCAATTTATATTTAACATTATCAGTTGTTTGCCATCTATTTTTAATTTAGTGGTTATTAGATTGATATTATTGATATGTTCATTTCTTATATTTTGTTTTTGATATTAGTATTTTTAGCAATGTTAATTATGAGATTCTCTCATAATCAGAGACTGTGATTACATAACCAAATCTCGGTTTTTGGTCTAGGCGAACCAAATTTGAACAATGTAGGCTCAATCTGCAGCTTCCTTCGCCAAATCGCGAGGTCTGAACGTCTCTCAAACTCTGATTGATCGTCGATTCAGTTCGGAGTACGTCACATCCGACAGAAAGCGCGCGTTTTTGGTCAACACCTTGGTTCTGGTAATTGTTCTCCTTTTAGCGTTTGATTTTCAGTTAATTATTTTAAACCATCAAATATGTATTTAAATTAAAAAAACAATCTTTAAATTTGTTTTGGTTTAAGATGAGGTAGCATATAAAATAATATCAATCAAAAAACAATCTTTAAATTTATTTTAAACCATTTGTAGATTTTGTTTTAAATCAATTAAGTATACAACAAGTTATTTAAACATCAGAATGATCACCGTGCAAAAAAAAATAATATAAAAAAGATGAAAAGTTAAAAATTATACAAATGAGATATTCTGTCCAATCATCCATCTAGATGTATACCAAGTTATTCTCTAGGTTATATTATCGTATTTAATAACTTGAAACATATTATTTTTTAACTTCTACAAAATAAACTTTGAATTGTTCAAAATATAAATACAATATTGAATATTATATTGTATAACAATATTGTATTTATTTGTGTAAATATATTTATGTATGAATTGCAGTTACCTTGAATTAGCTAAAAGGGTCGTTATCAGTTGTTATCTTCATCGTAAATCTTAAAATGATGCATCAATTTATATTTAACATCATCAGTTGTTTACCATTTGTTTCTAATTTAGTGGTTATTAGTTTGATATTATTTTTTTGGTAAAAGGTGTAGTTGTATTTTTATATGAGCAAGTACTATAAGAGTTTTATTATTCTACATAGTTTAATGATAAAAAAACGAAAGGTTTACAAATACAGTTCTTAGTTTTAATACTATTGATATGTTGATTTCTTAGATTTGACTTTGGTATTAGTAGGTTTTTACAAATGTTACTTGAAGATTATGAGATAATTTAACTTTAATACTATGAATTGTGATAAGATTAAATTTAAATATAATCATCTATTATTATCGCATTGTTAAAATATTATCATTATTCAACTTCTAAAAAAATGAATTGTTCAATATTCAAAGTTTTAGCAATATACAAATACAATATTGTCAATTCATCAAAGGACTAATAATGTTGATAATTTAGCATAAACAAACACTAAATCCTAATGTATATTCGTCAGTTTCGAATATATTTGATTTGAATAGTGAATTATTGGTGGTATTTAGATAAAATAGAATGGATTACAAAATTATCATTGTTTTGCCAAAGATTTAGTGAATTATTTAAGTATACAATAAATAAAATCATCTATTATTATCGCAATGTTGAAATATTATCATTATTCAACTTCTTAAAAAAATAAATTGTTCAATATTCAAAGTTTTAGCAATCTACAAATACAATATTATTAATTCATCAAAGGAATTTGATAATTTAGCATAAACAAACACTAAACCCTAAAGCATATTCGTCAGTTTCGAATATATTTGATTTAAATGGTGAATTATTGATGGTACTTATAATAAAATAGAATAGATTACAAAATTATCATTGTTTTGCCAAAGATTTTTGTTTTAAACCAATTAAGTATACAATAAAATTATTTAAACATCAGAATGATTATCGTGCACAAAAAATTATAAAAGAAAGATGAAATGTTAAAAATCATACAACTGATATATTACATTCAACAATTTATCTAAATGTATATCAAGTTATTCTCTAGTTATATTATCATATTTTATTTGAATGGTGAATTATTGGTATTTAGATAAAACAGAATAGATTATAAAATTATCATTGTTTTGCCAAAGATTTTGTTTTAAACCAATTAAGTATACAATAAAATTATTTAAACACGAGAATGATTATCGTTGGCAAAAAAGTTATATAAGAAAGATAAAGTGTTAAAGTTTATACAAATGAAATATTTTGTCTAATCATCCATCCAGACGTATATCAAGTTATTCTCTAGTTATATTATCGTATTTCAAAATTTGAAACATTATTATTCTTCAACTTCTAAAAAAATAAACTTTGAATTGCTCAATAGATAAATACAATATTGAATATTATATACACCTCACGCATTTGTGATACACGCACGGATGTTCAAGGATGATGGCTCGGTGATAGTATGGATATTCGGTAGGCTTATGAGCTTCTCACCGAATGATTCCAAGGGATAGTGATGGAGAAGTGTTTTAGATTTATGAGCACTCACGTTGCACTTAAAAAAGAATGGGACAGGTGACACCACAAAGAGAAATAGAAGACTCTTTGATTCCGTCACTAACTCTTTAGCTATGGCTTGAGAATCTCTCTCAAACCTTAACACAAAGAAAACTCGAAATTGCTTGTACTTGCTCAAACAACACAAAATAAGAAGAACAAATGCTCAAATTTTTATTCTGAATCAAGTCTGTTGAATTATGACATAGAGACAATCTTAAATAGACTAACAACCAAAAGAAAAAAAGAAAAATCGAGCAACAAGAATTCTGTAGCAATCTCCCTTTAACGGCTGGTAGCAAATATGACAAGAAATCAATCTCTAACTCAGTTATGGTAAGTCTTCAATTATGCAGGAATCAATCAAGTATCCCATGAATAATGCTTCCCAAGGATTCTCCAACGGCTATAAGGGTCTTGTGATCAGATTTTTTACTCCAATGACTTATTGTGGCAACAGAATTCAGGTAGGGTCGTGACTGTTCAGGTGTTCCACAACGAAAATGATGAACCAGGTGTTGGACAACAAGAGCTCAAAAACGAATAGGCTCTTGTTGCTTAATCTGCAAGCTTCTTCGGTTCTTGGATTGTCTTCAAGGGTCTTGGCCACGAACTTGTTGATTCTTGGACTCAAATGTGACACTCGAATCCCGTTTCCCGTGAAAAAGATGTATCACATGGACTAAAACCAATAAAATAACATAACACAAATTTACGAGAATTTTGAAACTTTTATTTCATAAATACGCAGCAGAATAGTTTAACGTAACCTTTAATTATCACACGTTTGATCTTAAGAACAGTGCTAAAACGATAATTATAAAACACAAAATAAACCATCATGCATATCCTTATATCACATCAAATAAAATCACAATCACAATCATGTCTGTATGATCACATCATAGGGTTAATCCGTCAAATCCTCGTCAACAGGACAGTACTGACTCAATTTGTCAACTGGTACTATCCAGATGACGCGCCAGGTAATCCCAGAAGTGTGGTACTGACTCAATTCGTCAACCGGTACCAACACTAGTCCTCACCAATATAATTGTGCTGACTCAATTCGTCAACCGGCACGATTACATGGTTCATCGGTAATCACCCACGCAATAGTACTGACTCTACGTCATCAACCGGTACTGACTGCGTGACCCACTGGTCTAACTGACCGGCATAGTAGTACTGACTCAATTTGTCTACCGGTAGCACTATGTGTCCACACACACCTCGCACAGTACTGACTCAATTCGTCAACCGGTACTGGCTCCATATCCACACGTTTCTGCAATGGTACTGACTCAATTCGTCAACCGATACTATTACAGAAACACCCCCACACACACACCAGTGTTGACTCCAAGTTTGTCAACCGACACTGGTTCCACATCCACACATCTCCTAATAGTACTCACTCCACATCGTCAACCGGTACTATTACGGATACACGCTTTTGTAATAGTACTGACTCCACGCTGTCAACTGTACTATTATAGAAACACCACACGCACGCACTAGTGCTGACTCCAAGTTCGTCAACCGGCACTGGACACGTGTTCCTCCCCATCACACTAGTATTGACTCCACATCGTCAACGGTACTAGATTCTAGGCTCATCGGGATAACCTGATCACAAACATGCTTCCATCGTGCTACACCACCAGCCCATCGTAGGCAACATGAGTAAACTACAACATGGCATACACCGTGCATATCATCCCCAACGCCCATCACACATGTCACGGTACCCGACCCCGACCGTAGTACCGTTTAACGCCATGCATACTACCCCAAACATATACCGTTTCACTCGATGTTTGTCTCACGCTTTACCACGCGTTGAAGTTATTTAGTTTATTTCTTTTCTTTTCATCTTACGAATTCTCGTTGTTCCGGACACGTTTTTTCATAGTTCGGTCGGTCTATAAATGGATCGGATCAGTCCAAGGACGTCTTCGTTTCTTCCCAAAAGTAAACTTTTATACAAATCGAAAAAAATAAATTAACGATGTGTACACGTAAAAATTATCATTGATATCTATTTTATAAACCGTTTATATAATGATTTTCATATTTTTTCCCTTCTTTATTTCTTTAAATTCATAATTTTATAATGATTTAATTTTACAATTATATTTATTTTAAATCAAACAAATAATAGATATTGCTTTTACTAAATTCATATAAATAAAATTAAAAAAAAAACAATCTGTGCATCGTAGGGTCTCATCTAGTATGATATAATTTTGAATGTTCAGATTTATTTGTGGAAAACACTAAAATTTAGAAGAGTTCGGAGTTTATTTGATAAAAAAATAGTTAATTTTATTTTAACAAATTTGATAAATTGAGGTATTATTCTTCAAATTTCTTTATATTTTTCCAAACCGTTAGGCCGATTTTATGATCCTATCTAAATGTATTGGGCCCGTGATGGTCAGTTATGGACTTTGGCCCATGGTGAATGAGGAGAACCCTAATCGTCATCTTCTTCCGCGCGAGAAGCGAAGGGCAAAGGTTCTGGATTACGTTGTGCGTTATTGGATCTGGTGAGCACCTCTGAACTCTCGTCCTCCTCTGTTTTGTATGTATCTATCTGTATATATGCTTCGCCAATTTGAGAAGCCATATCCTTCCGGCATGATTATGCTTTTTGTCTACTCGTTGTTGTCGGACATGTTTGAGAACAGGGTTTAGGGTATATGTCCTGAGAATTGGTACTGCCCTTCTGTTTATCAGGCTTCGTCGTTTGCTGGATCATGATGTTCCTCGTATGGTGTTCCTTAGGGTGAAGAAAACCGTTGATGTTGTTCGTAGCATATACATATATATATGTGCATGTATAAGCCTTGTAGCATATGTGGGCGTATGTACAACAGTAAAAGCCTCGTTTAGTTCAGAAGCTAAGATTGTCCCTGATATTGCTCTGTTTTTTTGCCAGAGTTCAGTTAAGATTTACACAGGACATGTGGATAATCCCCTTAAGCATAGTCAGTGTTGCTTAACTGTTGTTGTCGTGTCTTTCTGTGCATAGAAATGATGGAAAGTGAGACTAAACCGGCGTTCAACAAGTCGACAGGTCTTCCACGGAAGCGATTCTATAGAGCCCGGGCTCACAGCAATCCTCTTAGTGACTCCCACTTCCCGATTCCGATCTCCCCAGCTCATGTGGACTACTCTCTTCACTTCCCCCAGTTCTTTGAAGCCGACAGCTCGAAAAGGGTTGAATTTGCTGACATTGGATGTGGGTTTGGTGGCCTCCTCATTGCCCTAGCCACTCTCTTCCCTGAAACCCTGATGATCGGGATGGAGCTGAGGGACAAGGTGACAGAGTATGTCAAGGAACGTGTCTCAGCGCTGAGGAAAACGAACCCAGGCCAGTACCAGAATGTGTCGGTTGTTAGGACCAACTCGATGAAGTTCATTCCGAATTACTTTGAGAAAGGACAGCTCGGCAAGATGTTTTTCCTCTTCCCTGATCCACACTTCAAAGAGAAGAACCACAGGAGAAGAGTGATCAGCAGTCACCTGCTAGACGAGTATGCGTATGTTCTGAGAGTGGGCGGGATCATATACACAATCACGGATGTGGAGGAGCTCGGGGAGTGGATGAAGTCTTGTCTAGAGAAACATCCGATGTTTGAAGCTTTGACACAAGAAGAGCTTGAAGCCGACCCTGTTGTCAAGCTCCTGAGCTCTGCAACTGAGGAAGGACAGAAAGTTGCCAGGAACGGAGGACAAACCTTCAGAGCGGTTTTCAGACGGATAGCTTACACTTCTTCGTGATTGTCTCGTCCATCCCTTCAAGGTTCTGTTACGTTTTCTACTTGGGGTGGTGAAAACATGTTGTTGCGGCTGTCGTGTGACGATAGATTTGGAGAAATGTTTTCCGTTTGCTGTTTTAATCAAAAGTCAAAACATGGTGGCATGAATGGAGTTTACACATTAGCCGCCACCTGAATTCTCTCCAAGCAGCTTTGTGCCATCTTCTAGAATATCTTTCTATTTAGATGCTCTGAAATATTGTACGAATATTTTTTTTTTTAAATAGGTTGATTAGATGAATGGATTATTTCATCGTTATTTTGATTTGTATTTTATTGTCTAACGATATCCGAATTGTTTGAAAATTTCTAAACTCCTTTTTCGTTTTTCGTCGTGGAAACTTATAATGCGATTGATGATGTTATGAAAAAATATCTTGTAGCCTTTTTAGTTTTTTTTTTCTGCCATAAATTACAATTTTTTAAGAATTTTTTCCTTTTATGTACAGAAATATGAATTATTGTTGTTGTTGTTATTATTATTATTATTATAGGTTTAAGGTGGATTGTCCTCGAGGGGTTAGGTCACCGTTATTACAGCAACTGGAATAGTGGCATATAGTTTTTCTTAATTATAAATGGGAAAATAAAATAAATAAACACCAAAATTTACAATTTTAACAGAAAATAATATTGAATTTTTGTTTTTATCAAATGAATATTAAACTTTTTTAAATGAATTTAAAAAACCTAAACTTTTTGTTTAATAAAAAAAATACATAAATTTTTATACGATTGTTAAAAAAATATTAAATTTTTTAAATGATTCAAAATAATACATGAACTATATATAATTGTCAAAAAAAACCAACGACAATAATTTAACGTGTTTGCATCTATTTATACCACGTGATCAAATTTGTTTATTTTGGCAATCGTAAAAGAGTTAAGTGTTTTTTTATAAATTTAAAAAATTTAATATTTATTTGATAAAATAAAAAATTTAGTGTTTTTTTATCAAAATTGAAAATTTCAGTGTTTTTTTTAAATTGCATTTACCTACTTTTTAAAATTAATGTCAGTTTCCATTTTGCATACTTTTCCCTATTTTAGAACTCGACAAGAACAGGAACCAACATCAATATAACCCATGATCTTGGTATAATAATTGAACAAAAATACTGTGTACGTATCTCACGTATCGATCGAATAGAAAACTCTTGAGTTATTATAATTAAAAAACCGATTTAAACCGTGTCTTATCTCCAATAACCGGTTTTGTGCAGATAATAGCAATTAGAAATTTATATATTGAAGATGCCAATATATAAATACGGTGAAGAACAGAGGCAATGAATTGTATTCAAGGCTTAAAAGCCAACACGATATTACACCAAAAAGCGTTAAATTCCCTTGTCCGCACGCACAAACCTATAAATAGTATTATATATGGTGTTATTTATTATTATCATTAATTTTAGACGTTGTAAGCTATATATAGTCTACCTACTACAAATTCAATAAAGAAAAAAATTTAACTATTCATTCAATCTATCATTTTATTTACAAATGTACTGAGATTTAATAATATAAAAAATCTTCCAAAATTTTGATATACAAAATTAGGAAGAGGCTCTACTTTAATTTTTAGAATTTAAAAATATAACAAAACATTATATTTATGTAAAGTCCATTTATATATTATGTTTGTTTAATTTGCAATTTTTGAAAAATTTAACTATTCATTCAATCTATCATTTTATTTACAAATGTACTGAGATTTAATAATATAAAAAATCTTCCAAAATTTTGATATACAAAATTAGGAAGAGGCTCTACTTTAATTTTTAGAATTTAAAAATATAACAAAACATTATATTTATGTAAAGTCCATTTATATATTATGTTTGTTTAATTTGCAATTTTTGTTTTTTTTTTTTGATAAGGGTTGTTGTATTACTATGAAATTTAAGTACATAGTGGAGAATGTTTAAGATTTACAAAAAAGTCAGACATCCAGCAAGTGGAAAGGTGTATCACCTAGTGAAGGCTTATCCCTCACACGTGGCTCCTGAAATCAGTGGAGAACCATAACTGAAGGCTACGGCTGGCTAGTTCTGGAGCCGCTTGGCGGAGTGCTGCAATGCGCATTCTAAATGTTCGTTCAATTTCCCGAATTAGATAGTGGGTATCCTGAAAGGTTTGCTTATGCAACCTGTGATTCCTTTCTTTCCAAAGAAGGTAAGTGGATATCTGCCAAATCGTAACGGCCGTCCATCGTCTGAACCTGCATCCTATAGAGCCCAGAAGAAGCTGTAGAACAGCCTGCCATGGAGAGTGCAAAGAAACCGGGATTAGTCTACCCAAGCTACCAAGGATGACCTCATTAGAGTAAGGGCATTTGAAGAAAATGTGGTCCCTGTTTTCCTCTGAATCCTGACAAAGTAGACAGCTAGAGTTGACAGTTAATCCCCATGATCTCAGTCTGTCTCTGGTAGGACATCGGTTTAAGTTTATGATCCAGCAGTTGAATGCAAACTTGGGTATATGTTGCTTGTGCCATATCAGTTTCGAGCATGGATCAAGCTGCAAATTTTCATTGACACATTTCCAAACCTTATTTGAAGAGTAATCGGAGGATACCTTGCCTAAGGTTTGCCAAACAACCTCATCAGGGTTATGAGTGAGACTGATCGGTGCGAAGTGGAGTGCTAGCTTGAGGGCCGAATCTGATCTCGGGGTGGCGATTTGCCAAGCACCACCCGAGAAAGCTTCAGAGACCCAGGCTTGGAGGGGGATGCCTATCTGAGACGGTCCGCCCCTACCAAAGAATCTGATCAACGGTCCAAGAGGTGTCCATGGGTCGAACCAGAATTTAGTTGTCCTCCCATCACCCAATCGGACACTGAAAAAATTTGCAATTTTTGTTATAAATAATTCTATGGAAAGGAAACGGTAACATATATTTAAACCCGTATTTATTATCTTAGCCACAGTCATCAAATTTTAATTTGTGTTCATGTTTCATTTGTAGATATTCAATTAATACAGATCTTGGTATCATGACTAACTCATACAATTTGACATCTAAAAACGAAAAATTACTGTTAATATATATATATATATCATTTACTTTTAAAGGATTCTATATATATTTTTTTTACTAAATATGTAGGTCAATTTTATATTGATTTTGATGCATCATTTTTTGTAAATGTTTTGGCAGTTAATCCAAATTGGTTCTCAAAACATAATATACGTACTTGCTGTGTATCTCGATTCCTACATGGCTCGATAGTTTAACTTGAATTAAAAAAAAAAAAAGGCCCGTGAAACCGTTAAATACTTAACGGCGGTTAACCGGACCCCACGTGACTCCGTTAATTATTTATCAACGGTTGGTGAAACCAAGCTCGCTCCCCTTCGTTAACTCCTCTCTCTCTCTCTCTCTCTCTCTCCCTCTCTCCCTGACAAGCTCTCTCTCTCTCTCTCTCTCTCTCTCTCTCTCTCTCCATTTTCAGAATGGTTTGATCACACATTGTGCATATATGTAAGTTTTTTTTTCTATAATATATATATTATGATCGTATCTTATAGAGTTCGTGCTCCCATTTTAGGTTAAATTTTATGTTTTTCAGTTATAAGAACATTTAACTATTGAGTTCTGATTATCACTTCATATTTGCAAAAGGTTATTTTATTTCATCTTAGCGTTACAAAACTTCAAAACAGTTTTTAGTATGATAACAAATGTTACATTCGCTTATAACAAAAACTACTAATGTATCTCTATTTCCTCGCCTCATATCCAAACTAATATAATGCAGGCAAATTTATGTTTGCGTTTGATTTTATCACTTATTTATATATTTTGTTAAAATAATGTTTCTATACTCACATATTATGGACATATAAATAATTTATTGTTGAAATTTAATTAATATGTAAGTATATATTAATTGTTTCATTTTTTTTTTGGGATGACAATGCTATCAATTGAACAAAGCGATTCACCGGAGATGGGGAAGAAAGGGAGTGGTGGGTGGTTCTCGACGGTGAAGAAGAAAGTCTTCAAGTCTTCGTCCAAGGACTCCAAGGTAATTACACATATACATATATATATAGATATATAGATAGATGTATGATATAATAATTAACATATTTTTAGGTTAACTTAACACAACTGGCATAAAATTGAAGTACAATATTATAAAATATATGATATAATGACGTAATTAAGAAGGCACAGATCAGTGATCCACCGCATAATTAATGCTTTGTAAGCAAGCAAATTTTGGTTTATTGTCTTTTTCATCTTTATTTAAAGGTAATATAGGAAAACACATTTTTGTTGAATTTCTATATACTTTATTATATATATAATAAAAACAAAATGTAAATACTGTGACAAGTTGAGCGCAAATTAAATGTTGGCCCATATATCTATTAAAGGCCGAAAACTATGGTCCCCTAATATTATTTAATAAAAAAAAAAGATAACTGAAAGATGATTTTCATGACAACTATAAATTAAATAAATCCAATCGTATCTTCCTTTCTCCCTCCCAGTTTTCATGTGCATTCCACTGTTCTCTCGCCATCACCCCAACCCATTTTGGCCATATAATGTTTTATATACACGTGACGCATCCACGTATATATATATATATACACGTGTGTGTATGTATAGATATCTATATATTTTGCACTAAGTGACATGTGTCAAACTTTTCATGGGCATGTATTTATTTTACATCTGATTTTGGTTTTTACCATTTATGTTTATCTATTTTGCTCCTTCAATATTTTACTAATTTACTGTAGTTGATGTAATTGACACGTTGGTCCATTTAGAATACTATCACGTAAATCATTATTATATATAATACACTTGTGAATTTCTCTAGAAGTTATATAATCGTATAATCATATACGGCAGAGAGACGGCAGCGAGAACAACAACAATGGGGACAGGTGGCAGCAGCACGAAGCTCAAGAAGTCGTGTCGTTTGAGCATTTTCCGGCGGAGAGTTCGCCGGAACTCTCCCACGACGTACAGAGCACCGCCTCAACTCCCGCTGCCGACGAACGCAAGCACGCCATGGCGGGGGCCACGCCCA